CTTTGGCCCTGCCTTTCAAGGTGTCTCCCTTCGGTCCTACGGTTTTCTTCCTGCCCGAGTCCCATTTTGTGCCTATGTCGTGCGGCACATACAGAAATCGTTGGACCTTCTGTGGGATAAATCCTGGGACAGCGGAGCGTATAGGTTCGGCACGATGGGCGTTGGCGGTTTCCTGAGCTCCTTCTCTGACCAGCGCTATCAGTTCGTCTGCCAGTTGATTTGTTAATTGGACGGGATCGATCTGTCCCTTATAATAAAGGGCGCCAATTGTCCTGGAGATGTCCAGCAAGTTGGAGCCTCTTGGGTCATGTAAATACCTATGGTCCGGCAGATCTGTTGGAAAGATGTGTCGCTACTGCGCGAGAGTCCAGCTGGCCGGTGGGCCACGTGGATTTCTGTCATGCTGGTCGAATCACGGTGGGTGCGGACCAGAAGGCCTAAGTTGAGGATGAGAGTGACCACTCACCGCATAAAGGGTGCCGTATGTACACGGTCCGGTAGCGGGAATCCTCTGAATTCTTCACCGAGCGCCATGCAGGCTCGGAGGACGCTGACGAGACACTGGTATAGGTCTCGGCCCGTTTCTCTCCTCATGATCCTGACGGCTGATTCCCATTGGCGCACGTAACCTGTTGAGATTTCGACATGGGTGGATTCCGGTCCGGGATCGGGAAGTACAGCTTCATCGTCCCAGGGTGATGGGAGCATGACTTCCTCCGAGGGCGGGTCTCCCTCGGGGACCGGTTCAAAATCTTCGTCTCTCCATAACGGGTTATGGTGGTCTCTGCCTAGCGGTTGTGATGATCCTAGATTGCCCAGGTTTGTGATGGCCCAGGTTTGTCCGGAGTGTCCGATAGGACTAGGACATCTTCGTCGCCTGACAGCCGCTTCTCGAGCTGGGCGATCTCAGCATCGCAGCTCTCTTTATCCTTGGCCGCCAGTTTCTTCTGGCGGTTTCGTTTGACCTCCGGGTTTTCCACGGGCCGTGGTTTTTGCGCCTGACTCCCACTCGGTCGAGGGGAGGGTGGGCGAGAGGCCGGTTTGGCCCTCTCTTGCTTCTTGGCCTTTCTCGGCTGCTTAGCTCGTTGTGAGTTAGCCGAGTAGATCACCGATGCGCCAAACGCTAAATTTTCTAATGTCCCTGATATAGGGAAAGTCACGGGTTGGCCAACAGGTATGTCATCTACTTTGGCTGGCATGGTTGTCAATGCTGTCGGAACGGCGGCCGTTGGGCCCGTTCTTACTTGGCTTTGGTCAGCTGACGCTTTTGGTGGCGAAATGGCCTTCGATGGTCCCGCCTTGATATAGTAACGAAACCATCGGAACGTCCAGAACGCGTAGAATGTAGCACGGCATTGCCGCCATAGCGACTAATAATTCAATGACGGAAAGGTTTAGAATGTAACAGTTAAAGGGCGTGATGAGTTTGCGAAATGTGATAAAGGCGACAATTATTGTGCCGTTGTAGACAGCTGTACCGACAGCAATGAGGCCGATGATAGTTGATAATATTATCACGGTTTGGGAGAGAAATACGGTTTGGGAGAGAAATAACTGAAGGTGGCCCACTTAAGTGTATGTTGCCTATTCACTTATCATAGTGGCCCACTTAAGTGTCTTTACGGGTAGTGGTACAAATCCACAAATTAACTATGCTGCTGCGTGCTGAGTACTGTCATGGGTCACAGATATCCACATTTATTGTGAGCACAGGTAACACTTAAATCTCGAAGAAAAACACTAACGTCTTGGAGTGTAGCAAATTTCCTTATGGATTTCGTTGTTAGCTATTGTTGATATTTCATAACAAGTAAAACGGTTAGAGAAGTACGGAAACTCTAATGGACCACTACACCGGTAACCCGCCGTTTCGTCGACCGTCACTTCGTTGTGACAGTCGACCGGGTGTTAATCTGCGAAATGTCGGTGAGCCCACTGCCCTACGCGCCCAGCACGGTCCCAAAATACCGGCTTGCATTTGGCCAGTTATAGTAATCCCCAGCCCACGCCGTCCAATTCCAAGACAATACTGCGCATTGCATTCACGTCCGCTGTCGAGCAGACTCAGCAGGCGAACTGAATAAGGTCGTCGGCGATGTACCGCGCTGACAGGAAAAGGCATAGGATGGACTAAATGGCGCCCCCACATTGTCAGTATCAACGAGTATTCAACACTGAAAATTATTCCCTCTCAAACTATTAAATGTTTCGAAAAATCAATGTCGTAAATGGATGTCAAAAATAAATCAGAATTTAGCGTAATGTACAGATGTATTAGATGTATGTATTAGACAACTGTAAATGTATTAGACAACTTAGCATGTAGACATGTAGACTTTACAGCTTCCGAAGAAAACCCTATTACTATGCAGGATCGCAGGTAAACAATTCGTTCGTGCATGAAAGTAAATCAAAATAGTGTAGTACAAAGATACCAAAATTAATTTTGACGTCAAAGCTCCAGATACAGCTAGCTCCTAATTAAGTAAGTACTACCGAGTATCTGTACATAAAAATAAAGGTACAGCTTATCAAGTTATACGATTACAGAAACCTGATACAATTCATAGTTTCACTCTCAAAAAAGTTCAAGTGGCATCGGTGTTTTGTCTACGAGTAATTTGCTGCTTATCCCATACCAGTTTGCAATTAGTTTTGTCCACCGTCACTTTGTTCTACAATATTAAAGCCAAATTGGCTAAGCAATAAAACCAAAAAAGGTTGTATTTGAGGATCTGGAACGCTACTCCGGAACCAGCACAGAAGCTCCCCCGTACGATGTCGTCGGATACGTAATAATCCCGCAAGACTCATTGTACTGTACTACTGCAAGGCCGCTATTAATTGTAAAATACCACTTGGTTGTTAATTTTTAAAAAAAAACTGTCGCCATTAGATTTATTTCAACATTTATAACGGCAGTTCCTACAGCTACATAAAATGCGCATGGCGGTGGCGCACAGAATATAACTATCACTGTCTCGACATGCGAGCTGCTTTTTGCTTTTAAGCTAGCTAAACGGGAGTTATGGTTCTGTTAGTGCTTGTTGATGTACTAAGTTCTAGAAATGTTATTAACAATAGCTAGCTGCATAATTTAGCCAGTAAAAGCCGCTCTATCTGTTTTCTTTTTCAGCGATTAAGTCTTGAGATTCAACGTATTAATGCTCAGCGTATTTAGGAACTGTTCCGTCCCATGGTAATTGGAAAGGATTCTTCATTTAGATCATGCGAACGCAAGGCGTTGCCGTTTGTTAAACACACTGATTAAAGTTATCTTCATTGTAGCCAATAGACTGATAATCACTAATCATGTGAGCGCTCAGTCTTCGAAGTGAATGCGGTTTCTGGTTTCAAGGTAGACATGTCAGCTTGGGCCTTGGCTTGATATCAAGCGGTGGGTTCTCCTAGACACAGCACAGGATCGTCCTTCAACGGCTCGTGGCACGGACCCTATACTGTCTACGAGTGTTAGACTGGTACGTACATTGCATTGCACATAAATATATTTTAGTGGCTGTTAACATTATTTTAATGATCAACGGATAACAAGCTCAAACGCAGATTCGATGTAATAATTATGTAGTTTGTCATTGCAAAGCATTTACAAGCGATACACTTACGTACATGACCGGCAAAAATCCAGTATCCTTTCCATCCGGCGTGAAAGGAACATTCGTACAAAATAGGCGGACTGTACAATGTTCATTCCCATTTCCCAGCAAACAGTAAACGCTCACAGTTTGAATCTACGAAAAACAGCTGTTGCGAACTTGCGAGTTTGCGACATTCCATACGTTGTGACTTTGTAACGATTCGCGTCAATAATATGTAAACATGACCTTGCCGTTCGCATAAGGCTTGCTAGGAATTGTGGGAATCAGTGATTTACGCGAATGGCGCCATCCTGTTGCGGCGTCTGGCTGGCAGTCTGGCACGCGCGCACATGCGGCAACCGGCAGCATGTATGCGGCTTGCACGAGAAATCACAACCGTGCATAATTTATCTTTTTCGCTTTAAATACTAGCAAGCAACTTGCTTGCTGAAAATATTACTTGCTGAAAATATTACTCGTGGAGTTTTCTTTGTTTTGCATGTTTGTCGGGAGATTTTTGTTGAAATTTGAATGAGGGGATTGTCGAATCCGTGTAAAACTGAATGTCACCGAGCTTGTGACACGCGGCCAGTCCTTGATGGCTGAGATTTACACCACGCGGTTTCGGTATCCATCTTTGGTCACGTAAGATTTGTGTACTAAACAGTAAATACCGGGTGGCCGAACTCTGCAGCAGGAACTGCAGAAGAATAGTAAGTAGCGGGCGTGTCACTCTAGACTCAGGTTTAATGAACTGCCGGACTGCATATTCGGCGCAGAAAAAAACGGCGTCCTATTATTTTGTCCACCATTCATTTTGTCCACCGTTCATTTTGTTCACCATTCATTTTGTCCGCTAATCATTTTGTCCACCGATAACTTTGTCCACCATTCATCTGATCTACGCTGTTAAATTTAAATACAATATTACCACTTACCAAAATTTAATATTAGTTACAATAAAATTAAACACACAATACACACGGTGTGGGCGTAAGATGTAAGCAGTTAGATGCGCGCTGTATTATGTGCATAAATCGAGCTCATCGGTATCGCTTGCTTACCGTTTGCTTATTTACCCGCTGAATTTCGAAACGCATAACATAACAGCTGTGCAGAAGTCTAGACAGAGCAGCAGTATTACTGTATTACATGCAAATTACCGCACTCGATATTGTTGCAGCAATGGCGCAGAATTTTGCAATAAAAGATTGTAATATCTACCATACAAACTGAAATCATAGTTTTGAATGTGTGTACACGCTCTCATAGTACGTAATACTTATCGGATTACTATGCGAGTTTATTACATTCATACTAGCTTTGTCTTATAAAAAAATAAAAATACCGTACTTTTCGAATTGTATCGTGAACGCAGTGTACGGTTGACAAAATGAATGGTGGACAAAATGACTAGTGGACAAAATGATTGGTGGACAAAATGAACGGTGGACAAAATGAACGGTGAACAAAATGCATAGACACGATTTCGGTCCCTGTCAGACGCTCCACTCCATTCGATTAATTCTAAAATCGCGATTCAAGAGTTAAAGTGGATGAAAAATTGAAACTATACAATTATCGTTTCATTGAACTGTCAGACACGAGTGTTTCATTTTTACTGTTTCGGAATGTTTCCTTCTTTTATTCCTGGCAAATCTTCGATAATGGGTCATCTTCTCCTGGTTTCTGCCGCGGTTGTGCTGGCCTGCTGCATACCTGGCACCCTCACGTGTGCTAAAACTGGACTCAGCGTGGAGAAAAGTAAGTTTGGTAATTTTGCAGTCCTGCTTTTTCTTCTCTGCTGACATAAAATTACGCATACGACTTTGGTTTGTGTCAGAATGCGCACGAAGTTTGCGTGGATCTTACGTGCGAAGAATTGTCGTGTAACAGTGAGTAAAACAGGCACTCAGTTAGAATCGCGGATTGAACTTCGAACAGTTCATAAATGATGCAGTGATCATTAGATTTTTTTGTAGATTATTATTATGCTAAAAATTATGCTAAAATAAAGGAGATAAAGCTTTCGTGTAACGAGAAAATAGCTGGGGAGCCGAAGGATGTGGAAGTGGAGCGCGTAACATTGCTCATTATGTAGAGGTAGAAAACCGGATCAGTAATCAGTGTCCTGCTGTTTCAGCTAGCTGGAGTATGACGTTGCGGCCATACATGGCGCTTCTGTGTCGCGCCAGGTTTAGCCATATTTCAATTTGCAGGCATTACTAATTACGTTAGCAACGTCCGACTCCAGCTGCCTCACATCAGCAGCACTGGGGTTGTTATTTTGTTAACGGTGCGATGTTTGTCTTTCTTAACCATTTTTCACCGGTGCACCGGTGAAATTTGAGAGAAGATCGCGCTGAAATTTTGGGAAAATACTGAGTCTGGAAATTTAATAATACACACTCCCCCGCACCCCAGGGGGACTGTCCCAGGAACCCCCAGATGACTGGGATAGGGGGCCAGTATGTTTTTGTTAAGTAGCTACTAGCTGCGCATTTAAGGAACCTCACACAAGTAACCTCGTGATACGTGGAGAAAAAAGCTTTCGCGCGTAGCGCGAAGCCGACGAACTATTTTGCTAAAGTATCGTTTAAAATATTGTTTTGCTGGGGTTTTGGTGCAGAGTTTCGTTTTGATAACGGCAGAAAAGCGACGAGTCTCCTGTCTCTTGGATCCAATGCATTAATGCCGGTAAAAGTACAGGTATATATACCGATTCACGTAAAATGAACCGGCTATTGCTGATAAGGCCGGTTTTTAAAGTTGGGTTTTTACCAAAGATGCAGGCAAACCGAAGGCATGTTCAGATTTCAACCAGCAGAGTCATCAGTTTCAAAAAATGAGGGTTTTTTAGGGCGGCTTTATTGCGCGACGACCAATGTGTCAAAGTGCGATGTAGTATTTTATATCAGGTCGCGCGAAGCGCGAAGACGACGGCAGATTTTGCCTTAAAAAATTCAGAAATTTCAATAAAAATACGAATTTATATTTCGGCAGACCCCTCTAACATTTTCTCAACAGATTTCAATTTTTTTAATCTTGCACATTCGAGAAGTTAATAATACACAAAACACATTCGATAACACACAAAATGCATGTGCAGTACAAAATACGATTATAACCGCCGATTTCCCTGCTTCGTGTAGCTTGAGGATCATTCAGTTGCTTCTGGTACGCTCATTTTATTTAATTTTAACAAATGCAGCTTATTTTTTTGTTGTAGTTAATCGGATCTTGAACGAAGCGAAGCAACGTAACGGGAACGGAACCATGCATCTTCAGGGTTACGGCCGCGGTCCGACGTCCCAGGAATATCCGATAGCGGAATGGCCGCCGGGGACTGAGATTATTCGCGCGCCAGAGGGTGGCACACTGGTCATCTTCTGCAACAACAGCCACAACACGAACAACACAGAGGTTTGTACTGGACCGTCGCGAGCTCGGATGGGAGGAAGCGCGCCATTGTTCGCCCCGAGCAAGAACAGTGTTGCCGTTGCGCCAGTTCCCGATTCTCCGGCTTTTGTCTAAGAAATTTAACACTTTTTTCTGAGGGAGAGCGCCCTCGCGACTGACCTGACTGTAACTGTGGTGTAACTGTCTTCATTTTGAGCAGGTTTTCCACTCCGACATTCCGCCGGCTTTCAGACGCAACGGAGTGCTGATCCCCCTTTCAGATTTTGAGATAGCCAGAAGAGGGTTCGAAGAAGTGAACTATTGTTGCAACCGCACGAATGGTAACAATCCGCTGGAATACGGAGTGGAGGGCAAAGTGTACGATCTGGTCACGAGTGCCTTTTCCATTGCGTTACCGAAATTTTCGTACGCGGCCACGGGACTGTACGAGTGCCTGCACTCCAATGGGCACCAGCTGGTGGTGACGCAGCGCTACTGGGTTAGTGCGACCCTCTTCCGCAACAAGGTCTTCGATCCGCCCATGAAGAACCTCACGATCCGATACGGCGACCCGGCGGAATTGGTCTGCGCGGTGCGCTTCAATTTCCTCCCAGGGTATCTCACCAACCGGTTCCTGTGGCGCGCCGGAAACTACTTGCTGATGGCTAAGTCCATTCCGGAGGTGGCCGATAAGATCGGGTCATGGTGGGGATTTTATGGGCGTGTTGACTTCGGCAAGGATCAACAGGGTCGCTGCAACTCCACCTTGAAGATCGACCGTGTCACATGGAGAGACGCCGGACTGTACGAGTGTTGGTTCCGCATCAACGATCGCCTCGACGAGTGGATCGTTCAAGAAGCCTACCTGCACGTTATCTAACCGGAGCCACCATTCAGCTTGCGGTTCGGCAACGCGTGTACATAGATCTTGTTGTTCTGAATCTGCAACAGTTCGTTTTTACGTTGGAATAGTCAAGATTTTTTTGTTGGAGCGTTATTGTTTTGACTCGGGAATAAGCAGGGCTTTTGACTCGTTGGTATTTATTACTGTAGCGTAGCGCAGTGGCACCGATGCCACGAGATTGTCTGTCCTCTGTGACCTTGGTGTCCAGCATGGCAACTGCAGTAGCAGCATGCCATTGTTGTTATGTTGTCGACAATCAGTTGGTTGTTTGCGCCCTCAGTGGTGGTTCATAATATATGTATTATGCCGCCACCTCAAGTGACAATTACTTTGTTACATTCCATTGCCTTTCTTGTAGGAAATGAATTATTGGGGATAATTCAGTCCGTTGCCGAACTTCTGTTACGGCGGTGTTGAAAACAGTTCTATGAAAAAGCATTCACGAATCATAATCATCCTTGGACATGACATACCGGGTGGCTGAACTATGTAAATGGGCGTCTACTCTTGTCCGGTTGTTTCGCATAAGCCACTCGCCGTACCGGAAATGGCTTGAAACTCATTTGAAAGGCAACTTTACTGGATACAAAAGTTTGCTTTGAGAAAGTGACACCTAATTCAAATTGTAACCATTAAGTTAATTGAAATTGAGTGAAAAAGTTCTGTGTCCCAGCTCACAAAGCCCTGAATCCCGTTAGATTTCTTTCCCGTAAGAAATATTTAAACTTTCCTAAGTGCTTTGTGTAATTGTCTGATTACAATTTTTTAATACAGGCGCAAACATTCAGACGACAAATACAGTAGATGTCATTACCAAGAAAGTGCACTCACTATTGGCGGGCGGTGCATGACCGAGGCGTAGCAGAAATGCATAAATTATTATTTCTGTAAACATAGCCCGGCTAATTTCTTCAACTTCATTTGGTAGTAACGTTCTTTATGGCGGACAGGTGTTTTACACTCAGACAATGAGTTCTTTAACGCCAGAGACAGAAGATAACTTACTCAGTTGTCAGATAGCGTAAAGCTACTGATGGTTTATGGTGGTGAGTGACCTTTACTGACTAACGACTACAGACACGACGCTAACCCAATCGTTCTGCTAACGTTGACCTTTATGTAAACTGATTGAAGCTAACACTGCAACAACATCAAGGCTATGAAGACATTCTAGAGAAAACTTTCTAAGACCAGATATTCCAGAGCTGCTAGCCATGCAAGATGACATTAATTCATTCACAAGGAGTTCTTCTCCCTCAAGCACTCAGAAGCGATTTCTGATCCAAAATATGAAAGATGAGAGAACACGCCTTCAACTCAAAAGCACTCATAGACAAACCATGAGTCAACAATTTATTGATTGTTTTATGAAGGATCAAAGTACCGTACACTTAACACAATACTAATTGGCTGATACTTTCTGGCCACTTCCTTCCGTTGCAAACCAAATCACAGTATGACTGTCCATACATAATGTACTTCTACTAGTCGTACTCGTGACACAGTAATAATATTGCCTTAGAATAATAATTTCTCAGTGTAAATTAGGAAAATGCACCGAACGGGGCATTAGCAGGCCGGAACGCAATAGAGTTGCAGACTGAAGTTAGCTTCCATGGCTGTAATGGAAAATTACTGTGGTGTTTTAAATAACACAATAAAAAAAGTAAATTCATATGACTGGTCACCCTGGATGCCATGTGTGACTGGCAAAAATGTCCGGAATTTTCGTCCCGTTCACTCCCGTGCCACCATGGCCTAACCGGTATGTTTTGCCAAAATGGTGACCTGGGGGACCTGCAAGGGAAAGCTGATTTTTCGACCAGTCCGTGACCTATAAAAGTACTGCCAGACCTAATAATTTCAAAACTACCATGACTTGACCAAGCCGCTACCAAGCTGAAACATTTAACAAAAAAACAGGAAGGAACATACATAACCGAAGGAGAGTTGTTGTCTGACCTTCGGTTGTTGTCTATTGTGATTGACTTCCGGAGCGTTTACAGAAAGTCTTTGGCGTGAGTGCGTAAACTCTGGCAGTTTACCAACACGCAAATTGTCAACTACCCGTACGCGTCGGTATCTATGAAGAAGCTCCGCGTTGTGCAGAAAAAACCAGCGTGCATTGAAACACTGGCAGGCGGACAGAAATCCCCGAATTCGGCCATTGTGTTGATATTCAAAAATTTAAGAATATGTTATTAGTCAGTGTCCATCTGCAATACGTTGTCAGTACACTACCTTACCGCCTGTAGATGCACTAATCATTGTTAATCATAACCAGAAGCTATCCTACTCAAAATGTACCACTGCTTTCAAATGGCTTGTGAACACGAAAGGTGCTTTTATTTTACTGCCTGCCACTGATTTTCTGCATCGATACTATGACTTTCAACTGTACCTTCTGGTTTCTATGATTCTATCGACCACTATCAAGTTATCAACACTACAAGTGGCGACAAGGTAAAGGAGCCATAGTTTGGCAGTACTGCTTGTTTTTTACACGCACACAGTTACAGTGGTCCATTATATACAGTATTTTGAATGTCTGACTTGTACGGTAAGCGCCAGCCTGTATTCGGTCTATACTTATTTTTTGCATGGAAACATGGACAATGTTATACAACGTGTAGACATCATAATTATATTTTACGTAATTTACAGCAGTTACCCGAAAATATTAATTAACAGAATTACGATTTCATAACATACACTTATATTAAACGCTTTTTTCATAATAATTATAAGCGTACATAACTCTACTGTGCAATATGCACGTGTATTTTTAGCGACTATGAATAAGTCTATACTATACAACACGTAAAAACAGTCTGGCGAAACCACATAACTGATAAGATCAAAGTAATTTTTGGTAAGCCTTTTCGATCAAAATAAGAAGCCCTGCCATTTCTGGGTCAAACCAGATTGGCAGGACAAATCATCTCAACGCGCTGCGTGTACCGTTGCAAATTGCTTGCCACGGAAAACTGCATTCATCTAACCGTAAAACTGTTAATGCTTTGTTTGTGTATCCCGCAATTCGGGACGATTCCCGCAACTACAATTTGCCATTGAATGCCTAATCTACGCAGACTTACATAAATTTGGAGCTGGGCCAGTTCATTTGGTTGGATAATGGCCGACGTTGAGAACGTGAACGAGTCGTCATAAGGTTCCTCTACTGGGCTGAAAACACCGGGTTGCTTAAGCAACTGTTTTCGCAATGTACGAACAGTGAAAATGCTCATACCGTTGTAGGATGAGGGATATATTGATTTGCGCAGCCGATGTGCTGTTCCACACCACCACGGAGACGGGAAACACGCTGTTGAAGAGGACGGTGTCCGGTGCAAAAATAACATAATCGAGCCCAGTAAGCACAGCGGTCAGCTGTGCTGTGAGGTACGTCTTATACTTTGCCAAATCGTTTCAAATGGTTGATAGTACGTACGGTAGTATCATTCTGTTACGTTCAAGACGACCAACAGTACAGCTACATAGCGTAATTGTCTCGGTCTAGAAGATGTCCACTATGACTTTTGGTTGGTGAAAATTATTCTGGTACTTCGTTAAACTAAAGTTTGAATGGTACAAAACGTGCAAGTTCGAAGCGCAGAACACTTTGTCAGTTAATTGTTCGTAACTGAGGATGCCGCATAAGAGAAAGAGGTATACAACTGCGGTGCGTAGAAAACCGTTTGTCGCTCTTTGGGATCGTCGTAATCACAGACGAAAACGCTTTGTTCTTTCAAATTCTCCACTCTATAGACGCGGTACATACTCAGGCTGAAGCATTTCATCGGTGAGGTCATCTGCAAGAGCAGCACAAAACTTAGTGCAGACGAACTGCTGGCACTGCAGCATTGTGTGGTAATCAGCGAGAACCGCACACCAGCAAACAAATTCGCCAAAAGTAACGTAGTAAGTATTACCTTGTCAAAATATAGATTTAGCCTGGTGTTCTTTCTGTCACGTTGGGTTTTCTGCAGTCCGTCCACCGAACGAGACAGATCTTTCATTTCTTCTTCATCAAGTTGATATCCAGAAAGTGTGTTGACCTCTACAACCGTCTTCCCGCTCGCACCACCTTTCAAGTACCTGAATATTCCTCGCGCCATGAATTTAACGAATATTACCACTTATTAAAATAGATAAGTCGGGCCTTACTTGACGCAAATATTCAACCGGCTTTTCTTGGCCGAAAATGTATTGAGACTTGAGAGTGACGTTAACGTCAAAGGCCATATCCTCTCTGGGCTGCAGTACAGTGAAACTCCTCTTAACATTCACCTTCCTATAACATTCACCCCTTTACTGCATACACGAGGCTGGGAACCAAACCGTCCGGTAGACTATAACACAGGGGCAGTTCTCTGCATAACATTCACCCCTTTACAGCTATAACATACACCTTTTATGGAACCGGTAACAGTTTTACCAGCTTATTCAACCCCTGTGTAATATACGGTTGGTTTGGCTGGTGAAAAGAAACCATTTCGGTGTCGCTGAAAGAAGGCTTCTGTTTTTAATCTGTTCAGTACAGGATCTTCCAGCGTCCAAAGCATATAAAAGCGCAGCACAACCAACATTCAGACCGAATAATGTCCACACTCCGGTATTTTGTTAATTTTTTGGTTAATTAACACCCCCGGGGGCTTAGCCCCCGACCCCTTGAGGGCAGTGCCCCTGGGGGGCAGTGCTCCTGTATAACATACACCTCTCTGTAACATTCAGACAGCCTGGAACGGAGGATGTATGTTATAGAGAAGTTTCACTGTACATGGTATGTCCAACTCGAATGAGCTACTGCCATCCCGCTTCCTGTGGCATGCATAGTGATTTCAGCTGGTTTCTCCGCAGATACCATATCGCGTACCATTAAGGCGGTTTCCGGGGCTAATGTGAACTTGTGCTTTTGCATGCCATCTATAATGCCTTGAAGCGATGGAGGAACGCTGAAAGCTTTTGCAAATGCAACGAGAGCTTCCAGAGCGACAGAAGTATCTTAAATAAACCAACGATGTTGTAATTTCCGGTATTATTAAAGGCTGAAACAGAAGGAAAATTGTAGAGAAAAAGGCACCTTCAGCGTTCTAGTTCGACATCAACCCTGATACACCTTGAATCGATGTATCGAAATCCTTGTTGGCCAAGAAAGTTAGAAGTGCGTAAACTGAGGCTTCAACATCTTTCGAACTGGTCAAATAGGAATTTCCTTTCATCTCAAATTTATCATGGCTTGCTCCGTTAACAGTCCAGTGGATACTGGACTGACCGTGCACCATCCTCCTTTTTAAAAGGCTCAGTGCATCGACTTTCTTTGAACTGTTCGC